ATGATAGATAGATAGATAGATGATAGATAGATGATAGATAGATAGATAGATAGATAGATAGATAGATGATAGATAGATAGATGTAGTAGATAGATGATAGATAGATAGATAGATAGATAGATAGATAGATAGATAGATGATAGATAGATGATAGATAGATGTAGTAGATAGATGATAGATTAGATAGATAGATAGATAGATAGATAGATAGATAGATAGATAGATGATAGATAGATGATAGATAGATGTAGTAGATAGATGATAGATTAGATAGATAGATAGATAGATAGATAGATAGATAGATAGATAGATGATAGATAGATAGATAGATAGATGTAGTAGATAGATGATAGATAGATGGATGGATGGATGGACGGACGGACGGACGGACGGACGGACGGACAAACCGACAGACTAGATATGAGAGAGATCCCTTCTCAAGCAAAGCTGTTCCATCGTCAAGTGTCTCTTCCTTTCCAGAAGATGCTTCCAAGGCTGAATTAAATTAAATTAAATCTCTTTGAGGCAGATGGGCGGTTAAGAAATACAAACTATAAATAAATAAATCTGCTGCTTCTGTCTTTTTTCCCAACAACTGTTTGTAGCCTTAACCACCAGAACAGCCGTGAAAATGTTCCATCCCTCTCTAAACCCTCCCTAAAGTGTTTTGTGACGCAAGGGAAGCGCATCCTTCCCTAAAGTTCACAATCCACGTAGCCTCAAGTAACCTTCTCTGTCCTCCATTCAGGCATCAATCACGGGGACTTCAATGACCACAATCTTCTAGTTGACGTGGTTTCCGCATCCCCTCCAAACCCGCAGTACAGAATCTCCGGGATCTTGGATTTCAGCGATATGAGTTACGGCTACTACGTGTTTGAAGTCGCCATCGCCATCATGTACATGATGATCGAAAGCAAAGAGCCTCTCTCGGTGGGGGGACACGTCCTGGCTGGGTTTGAAAGCGTGGTCCCTTTGACCCCGGAAGAGCGAGGCGCCCTCTTTCTCCTGGTGTGCGGGAGGTACGCCCAGTCGCTGGTGGTTGCTGCCCACACCACCCTCCTGCACCCAGAGAACGAAGAATATTTAATGATCACGGCCAAAACGGGGTGGAAGCATTTGATGATGCTAGTCGAGATGGGCCGAGAGACGGTTGAACAAATCTGGTTTCAGACAGCAGAGTCCTATCGGAAATGACCCGCCACCATTTTGAGAACACCGTTAACAGATATTATCAAGGTGGAAATTAGGAGAAGTTGGCAGAATTTGTTTTTTAAAAAAAGCACACCTGGGAAAGTTTTATGTTGCTACTGAAGAATTGTTTTCAGGCCCGGTTATACGTGTAAAATACGGTTAGGTTTTATTTTGGCACTTATGCCAGAAGAGAGAAAGGAAATATCAAACTGTCTTGCTTTTGCGTTCAGATGTTCCGCTGGGATTTGGCAGCAACAATCAGTCTTCCTGCAGAATGGAAATTTGTTGACATCTTCATTAGAACATTCTGCCCTTTTTTTGAATAAAGCAATGCTTCTTCGTAGCTTTCGTCAGAGGGTTGGTATGAAGCACTTGTCAGCTTTTGCCCCTGTCTGCTATGGAGAGAATTCATAGAAAATGGTTGTAAATCTTCCTGGTGGTTTTATTAAACTGTGTATCTCTCTGCAAAGCACAAAAAAAAACCTTTTGGGCCTTCTAAGACTTGACATCCATGTTAAAAATGGGAAATCCAAGGCTAATAGGCTACGTTGTGAAAGTTTATTTCCTCCTTTGGAAAACTCCACAAGAGACTTCAATGCCCTGGGCATTAGAAACCCCATTGAGGCTCAGTTCCTCTGCAATAAAAACCAAATCTGCTGGATTTCAATAAAATATATAGATAAGACCTCTTGCAAAGTATAGCCATGTTTTATTTACATATTTGCTTTTAAAAGACAAAACACAATATCAGGGTTTCCCCCCCCCCCCTCTGTACACATATTTTGGAGTCCTTGATTGTGAATATGTTTTATTTTCATTTTCATTTCATAC